CAACGTGGCGCAATTAATTGCAAACTAAATTGTGCCTTAGCAGTAATATTTAGGAGATGGTAAAAATGACGACACACAAGCCCTTTACTTTGTTGCAAGAGACAGGTACAGCTATACGAGCCATCTGAAAGAAGAAATATAAAATGGTTAACTCCTTGACTTGTAACCCTTGAAATTTTCCAAATCTCTACAATCGAGGTTCGTTCTAAACGTTTTAAAAGATATATAGCACACAAAACAATAGCATCAGGCTCGTCATCTATATCTTCGCTTTGTGAAGGTTCGTAAGAGGTAAGTGATTCAATTTCTTCAACTGTAGCACAACTAGCAGTGTAATATAAGCTTTCCTTCATTTGTTCAACTAAAAAGTTTGCAACATTTGGTCTCAGGTAACGTTTAGCTAAAGATTCAATAGAAGGAAAAATAGTAGTTGCATTTGTCGTAGAAGGAACACCTCTTTTCCATTCCTCAAATTGCTTTCTTTTTTGTTCCTCTTTGCTACGTTCCATTAATACTTTACCTAATTCACATAGTGATGTATTGCTATTCTCTAATACTCGCTTGATGCATGCATTCTGACTTTCAACAAATGATGTAGTTTGAATGCCGAGTGTGAATATCATGGCAGTAAATGCACATGCCCATGAAAAGTGTCTATTATAGAGTTGATGCTCAAGATACAATTTTGCATCAGAAAAGCCTATAAGCTGGTTCCAATGGTATTCGAAGATTTGTGGAGTATCTGCATTTCGGCATTGCCAAAACTTGCAATAAAAATTATCAAATTGATCTCCCAGCTTCTTTCGTAACATTTTTTTGATGTTTTCCTTGATATGCCAAATGCAAAAGAGATGTTGCGTCTCTTGATACTCTAAAATTACTGCGCGTTCCATGGCTGGATCGCCATCAGTCACAAACACACGAGGACATCTATTATTTGTTGCTTTCTTGGTCATTTTAAGGACCCATTGATACGTTTCAGTTGTTTCATTGCAAACAAAAGCCTGGGCAACAATACGAGACTGCATATTATCATCTTGTACTACGAATAAAGAAAGTGGCATATTGTACCTGTTAGTACTCGCGGTATTATCGTGCCTAACTGCCTCATTAAATTCACACCATAACATGATTTGTTCAGGACTCATCCAGAACAAATTAATCAAAGTATTAGTTTCCTCTTCCCACATAACCTCAACAAACCAACGAGAATCTTCACGTTGTTTGGATAATAGTTGCTCATAAAACTGTGATGTATCACGTTTAATTGCACTACATGATGGCTGGCACCGCTGTATCTCAACATAAAGATCCTTAGCAAATATAGGGTGAGAAGTAAACTTTTCTTTTAAGATACGACGTAACATAGTTGCTCCAAGACGACATTTAGTGACAAGAAAGTTAATTTCTTCTCGCATTTCTTCTGTAAACTGTTTATCTTTTTCAAACTGAATCGCTTCAGGTGATAAATCATGGTTATGATTATCATTTAGAGTGGTGACAAATACGCGGAAATCATCATTACTCTTTGAAGGACGTGAAAGATTAACATGCCACTGGCATTGTATTTGAGCTGAATTATTTGGCTTCTCAGCATTTTTTGGTTTAAATAGACCTGAATGTTTACGGAGAATTGTTCGTTTACGAACTTCCTTGCCACTTTCTGCTGTATCTATCATTGTCACACGCCCAAGTCATATTTTGAACCCTTTGGAATCAGCAAATTGACGTATGTAAACTTCAGCTTTATCAAAGTCATCAAACGAGTCACCTTTTTTCAAAGATAATGACTCTATATTGTTAGCTATGTCACTAACGTCCTTATTATAAGATTCTTCGAAATACTCTGTTATATCAACGTTGTCTTCGCTATGATCCAGATCCATAATTACAATTGTCGTTTAGGTAGCTGTCTATAAAAAAACTGATTTATAAGCACAAGGTTAGTAATATGAAAAAAACGTCATAGTGACAAACTATTTGAAATCCAGACAAGCGAACCTCAAAGGATCATATTTGTTGTTTAAGTGTCTGTCTATAAAAAACTGATTTATAAGCACAAGGTTAGTAACATGAAAAAAACATCATAGTGACAAACTATTTGAAATCCAGTCAAGCGAACCTCAAAGGATCATAACCCCGACAGAATGCTAATTAATTCTAGGTTATGAACGTTTGAGGTTAGACTCAAACCCGTAATATTCTTGACACATAATATAGGTGTTCTTGTCTTAAATAGTCGAAGGAAGTTACTGTTATTCGTGATTTGTAGGTAACAAAAGTGTCAGCATTTAATGTACAACGAAGTAATTTAAACGCGTGTAAATAATTGAACGTGTAACCAAATAGTATCAAACCCATGATATTCTTGACAGAGTATAGGTGTTCTTGTATTAAATGGTTGAAGGAAGTTACTGTTAATCGTGATCTGTCCATAACAAAATTAAGGTATGTCAGGTGTATATTCATTTAACGTACAACGAAGTAAGTTAAACGCGTTTAACGGGTAAATAATGTGAATAATCGAACGCGTAACCAATAACATACGGTATAAGATTTTTGCAATACACGATCTACATGATCAGGTGTAACACTGGACAAAGGGGTGCACCACGGTGCACGGTGCACCAAAATATAAATTTCATATAATATTTATTTGGCATATATTTTTTTAAAAAAAATTATTTCTAATAACTAAAATTGTTATTCCGGGACATGCTTTGAATGCACAAATGTCTTTTTTATCAACTTATAAAATTTATTTTAATGAAAATATAAGTTATACTAAAGTTTCAATAATCTTTATAAGATTGAATTTAGTGAGCTTTAAATTTTCTTCTTGCTTGTCATGCAATAGTAAAATTTACCGGGCTAGAGAAGAAGCAAAATTTAATATTACACAATCAAGTTTTTTACAACATGAAGAGTATGCAAAATATATTCCTTCAAAAGATGTTAAATCAAAATATGTTACAAAATTATGAATCTACAACTTTTATTTCTGCAAAAAAATATTAAAAAAATCGGCAATCAGAATCAGAAATCATTGATTACTTTTTTTTTTTTTTGTCTGCAAATTTACTTTTTTTTTGCAAACCGCAATAATCTACACTTAATTCATTGATAATTACAGCTGTTCTCATAAATTATGAGACAAATTGAAATTTCTCATTTCCCGAAATCTCTTCGGTTTTGTCCTATAAATCTCTAACTCCGGAAAATATATTACTATCTCCCGACCGAAGTTCCAAAGACAATAACGTGATTTCGAAGAATTATGACCTTTAGGATAAAGCCGAAGAGTTTTTGAGAAACGACAAATTTTTATTTTGTCCCAAAACATGTGAGAACAGCTGTAATTCACTAACAAGTTTAATTCGGAATTATATAATTAAACACTTGTCTTAAGTTCAGGTTGGTGTTAGTGTTTAAAATTGTTATTTCCGATTAATGAACTATCATAAACGAAAGAAGTAAATTATACTTCAAGCTTTCAAATTTATAATTTATTTTTACTAGATTTGGATTTGGCAGGAGTTTTTTTAAAAAAAAAATTAGTAAGACCAGTTGCAACTGATCGTACTAGTCCTGTGCAAGGTCACACATTGCATAGCTACTCTAGTATTTTTATTACCTGAATCTAAACATGTTCATGAACTCCGAACCGAACTCAGACTGAACAAATATTTCAAGTTCGGGTTCATAAACGTTAAGTTCGGTTTGGGTTCGAGTTCAAAGATCTACAAAATTTAAAGTTTGGGTTTGGGCTCGACCGAACCCGAACTGAACCCGAACCCAATTTCGGAACACTAGTCTATATAATATCTAATATATATAATTAATATAACATATCTAATAGATATAATTGATATAGTATATCTAGTAGATCTGTTAGATCTGACAGATATTTTCTGTTCCACATCAATCTGCTATACAAAAATAGAATTCCACGCCACAATTCACTTTTTTACACTGTTCCTGGTTTAGCACAACAATGTCACGCAGCTACTTATTTAAATTAAGTACTAAAGGTTGTAACTATATACTAATAAAACTAACATTTCTGATCAAGAAGTTACCTTAATACAAATATATATATATATATATATATATTAAAATAAAAATTAACAATTTATTTTTCTAGATATAATAACATAATACAATAGTTGAGTTGTTATACCCAAGCTAGCTTGTAATAATAATTTCAAGTTTAAATCTTACTAGTGATAGTTTAGACAATAGATCTTTATTGATAAGTTGGGTTTTAGAGCTTGTAACTCTAGTCACACTAGTGCTTTCAGTATATTAGAAGATTCTAAAAATATCTGTATAGTACTTGGTTATATATAGAAATACAAACCAGTATAGATAATGCAAATCTATGATAAGGCTTCTAAAAATATATAAACCTAAATAAAGACTTGATAATCTGAAACTGGCTTATCAATCCTAAGTAAGAATTAGCAAATCTTTGACAATGCTATAAAACAGAGCTAATTGAATCAGAAATTAGAAAATTTAAATAACAAAGATTTTTAGACAAAAAGATCTATCAACTTGACCACTTGGTTGTTTTGAGCTATGATAGTTGTATATTTTATTAGTTAATTTGCTAACCAGATAACTAGAGAAAATTTTTGGTTGAGATCTGAAGAAAAAAGATATATGTTATAAAAATGTATAACAAGAATTGAAAGACTATAAGACTTAAGCCTGAGAAACTTAAGTCTGGCAGGCCAATCCAACTAGGTTATTAGATTAGAAGACTAAAAAAACCAAAATTATAAAATATGTAAGTGATGAGATATAGATACTAAGGTTTGTCAATCTTATAAAAAGTAAAAATAAGTAATAGAAAACTAATTAGAAAGATTGTACTTGAGATATGAATATGCTATAGCAAGAAATAGGTTTTATGTATATACATGATTCCTCATCATGTATATTAATGCACATTTATGTATATACTATAAATTACTAGATACAAGATCTCCATGATAATAGACCCACCATGTAGTATATTATGAAATCTATATTAATTAAGCATGTTTTTTTCAAATATCTGGATTGTCTATTATAAATACGAAATATGCATACTCTTCAAAGGGATGTTCTATAGAATAGATAGGCAGACTCCGCAAACTAGCAACTCCGCTAAATATTTATTAATGATTACTAATTAGTAGTGGAGTTTATTTTTTATATTGTCCACCTATTCTATAGAACATTCCTTCAAAGTTTTTCTCTTAGTAACATAAACTCTCAGCTGCATACTAGACCTGGGGTCTATTATAGGATTCAAAATTGGTTAAATATAAGAGACCTGGGTCTTGTATTTGGTGATTTATAGTAATTTGGAATTATATGCATTTATTCTATATTATTTATTTATTTATTTTTTTTAACAATTTGGCAGTCAGGCCTTTACTTTATTAGGCTTTGTAATAATCATTTAGACTATTAAAATTTTAAAGAGACTTATCAATAAGTGATAAACTCTGAACATGTTAGCAGAAAGCGTATAAGAACTATCTCTAAATGACATGCGCCACGCCCGAGAGCCACACAACTATACCTAAATTACAAGTAAAGACTAACCCGGTTGCTCAATGAGTATCTATGTTTGACCTGCTATAGTAGAATTCTCTTCTTTCTGAACCCCTCCTGCGATTGGATATGACCCGGCTCTCAACAGATAGTACCTACTGCCTATCATGACCACTCCTCCCTTCTTTCAGACTTCTTCTACTTAAGCCTGACAACAAAATTAAAACTCTTATTCATACATAAAAGTGAAAAAATAAAGTCATGTTTATGAGAGATATAAACATTTTAGAAAAAAAACACCTCATGGTGGAAAAAAAAAAACTTTTCAACAAATTCTAACATAAATGAACCAAGATAAAAAAGTGAAAAAAAAAGAAAGGTAGCCATGACATACTATTATAGCCTGTACCAGACATAAAAATAAAAATTATATAATAATTGCAACTAATTAATATATCTCGATTGTAAAACATTGCCTTATTATAGAGAACTTGTTCTGAGTACCGATGAAACTCAGGTATCTCCTAAATGGGGTACCGATTTCTTCTCCATACTGTAGTACCATATTGATAAACAAAACAAATATGTAGTTGTGTTCTACTGAGTATATTCAAATTAGGAAGGTGTAAACAATGTCGATCTTTTGAAGGAGTGAGCCCAAATGCCCACTTTTTTTCAAAATTTTGGAGAGAATGGTAAAAGTAAGAGAGAGGTAAAAAGACCAAGAGGAAATACCAAAGAAACACCTACCTAAGCCTGTACAGTACTAAGTCTTTTCAGTGAGTGATAAACTCTGAGCTTGTTGGCAGGTAGCATATGAGAACTACCTCTAAATGACAAGTGCCATGTCTATAATAGGTCCCTTTTTCCATGTCTCACATTAAGGCTTCTTTTGAACCAAGCCATACTGTACATTATTCAAAAAGGTGTCTCTAAATTTTCAAGGAGCATTGTTATAAAAACTCATTTGTTGTTCTCCTTTTATTCTATTCTTTTGCTTTATGGATTACTTCATTGACAAAAAGGCCCCAACTTCTCATGAGCATCTTCTTTTCAGAATTTTGGAACCAAGGGCGCCAACTTCTGCCAGTTATTTTGTTTTCTAACGCTTCTGGTTTGCATGCCAAATGTGTAAAGGAGTTCCCATAGAAGCAAGTTGACCTTTATATAAACTGTTCTATAAGCATTCTTCTCCTCTCCAACAAAATTTTTGTTTTTGTTTGGTGGGAAATTTTGGTCCAGATAATCGTTGAAAAGAGTTTTATTTATTCTATCTTAATTTTATATAGAAAAATTAAAGTATATTTAATTTAGGCCAAGGTGTATAATGCCAGATAAA